CTCGGCCTCTCAATCCCGGACCGCGACTAGGGCACCGACCTCACGACCTGCCACGCACCGATCTCACGTATCGACGCACAAGTCGGGCCCAGACGCCAGCAGGGCACCCACTCATGCCACAGAAGGCCAAGAAACCTTCCGTCGACATCCTTTCGTGGACGGCATCATGGAGAACCCACTCCCCCGTGGATGGAAACCTCTCCACCACGACCGCTATGACGGCACGACGGCCCCCCTGAGCACATTGACCTGTACACAACCCAGGTAAACCTCTACACTAACAGTGACGCTATCCTGTGTAGGGTTTTTCCGACCTCGCTCAAAGGACCGCACTCCACTGGTACACTCAGCTACTATGAAAATTAAATTATTCTATCCAAACTTAAAATTTAATATTTTAAAATTTTTACTTGACTTATTCAAATAAAATATTTTTAAAAAGATGAAAATTAAAATTAAAATAATTTAAATTATAAAATTTTTAATTTCTAAAATTATATGATATGCTGTCTTTACTACCTATCTTGTGAAGGATTGATTTGTTCAGAACTTGTTGACAAATCTTGGCCTTGACATCAAGCTTGTTGTAGACTATTGGCCCTTTCTCACCTTCTTTGAAAAGAGCTTTGATAACTTTTCTCACCTTTCTCACCGATATTGGATGTGGACCTTTCTCACCGATATTGGATTTGGACATTCTTGGTGTCCCTAGAATGATAAGAGAGATTTCTACAACTTCTCTATTAGGAGAAAAGGCCAGTTCATACTTTAAGTGATTTAAAATTCCATTGCAAAGTTATGGCCTTGCACAAAGTTTTTTTTTTTTATAAATGTAATGTTAGGATTTGTTTAGGATGTAATTAGTTGCTTCCTCTACAAGTCTCTATAAATTCTCTCTTTGTCTCTGTCTCTCACTCTCTCCTTCTCTCTCTCTCTCTTGGTTTTTCTCTCTTTCGTACATGAATTGGATTGCTATAACATGATTATGATGTGCGGCTAGTTCGTTAATCAATTCTAAGTTTCAAAAACTACGGAAAAATTCAAGTTCCCAATCTTTTTACTGAACGAATTCTCTATTTCTCTTCATCTCTTCTTTGTTTTAGGTTTTTCTTTCATTTTCACGATTTTGAATTTTTTTTTGGGATCTTGAATAGAGATTAAAGATTAATTTTATATCTAGATTTAGATTTAGATTTAGATTAAGACCTAAAATAACCTAAATCACCTAATTCAATTGTTCACCATTCTTGAATTTTATTAAAATTGTGAAATTGCAATTGCATTTCATGTATTGATGGAATTCATAGATCTAGATCTAGATCTACGTTTTGATTAAGTTCGTGATGAATTAGGTTGATTGAGAATTTGGATTTATTGTTGAACTATGAAAATTTTACTGTACAGATTGAAATCTTGAACTGATACATCTCCGATTGAATTTTTGATTCTTAATTCTCAGTGTTGTTGATTGAATACTATGTTTCTCTCTTTGTCTCTGTCTCTCACTCTCTCCTTCTCTCTCTCTCTCTTGGTTTTTCTCTCTTTCGTACATGAATTGGATTGCTATAACATGATTATGATGTGCGGCTAGTTCGTTAATCAATTCTAAGTTTCAAAAACTACGGAAAAATTCAAGTTCCCAATCTTTTTACTGAACGAATTCTCTATTTCTCTTCATCTCTTCTTTGAAAAGAGCTTTGATAACTTTTCTCACCTTTCTCACCGATATTGGATGTGGACCTTTCTCACCGATATTGGATTTGGACATTCTTGGTGTCCCTAGAATGATAAGAGAGATTTCTACAACTTCTCTATTAGGAGAAAAGGCCAGTTCATACTTTAAGTGATTTAAAATTCCATTGCAAAGTTATGGCCTTGCACAAAGTTTTTTTTTTTTATAAATGTAATGTTAGGATTTGTTTAGGATGTAATTAGTTGCTTCCTCTACAAGTCTCTATAAATTCTCTCTTTGTCTCTGTCTCTCACTCTCTCCTTCTCTCTCTCTCTCTTGGTTTTTCTCTCTTTCGTACATGAATTGGATTGCTATAACATGATTATGATGTGCGGCTAGTTCGTTAATCAATTCTAAGTTTCAAAAACTACGGAAAAATTCAAGTTCCCAATCTTTTTACTGAACTTAGAATTTAAATTATTTTGATTTTAATTTTCATCATTTTTTAAATGTCTTGTTTGAACTAGTCAATTCAAATGTTTTAAAATTTAAATTCTTAGCTTGGATAAGCCAATTTAATTTTCACAATGAGTGAAAATTCGAACCTCGGTTTATTAAGGTCAAGTATGAACCTTCATTAAAATCTACAGTCGAATTCGAACCTCGGTTTATTAAGGTCAAGTATAAACCTTCACGAAAATCTAAAGGTCGAATTCGAACCTCGGCTTATTAAGGTCAAGTTTGAACCTTCATTAAAATCTATGGTCGAATTCGAACCTCGGCTTATTAAGGTCAAGTCCGAACCTTCATTAAAATCTACGGTCGAATTCGAACCTCGGTTTATTAAGGTCAAGTATGAACCTTCACGAAAATCTAAGGTCGAATTCGAACCTCGATTTATTAAGGCCAAGTCTGAACCTTCATTAAAATCTAAGGTCAAATTCGAACCTCGGTTTATTAAGGTCAAGTCTGAACCTTCATTAAAATCTAAAGTCGAATCCGAACCACATAATCCGAGGTCGAATACGAATTTCGGCACTCTCGTTAACGGTCGAGTTCGAACCTTAATCAAATCATTTCACTCAAAATTTAGGTCGAGTACGCACCTCAGCTCAATCGTTTCAAATTGGAGGTCAAACTTGAACCTTCACGAAAATCTAAAGTCGAGTTCGAACCTCGCACTACCAAGGTCAAATCCGCACCCTCATGAAAGTTTCAGAAAACAAACATCAGAATGCATACACAACGGAAATCGAGCACAAGCGCAACTCAATCGTTTTCCCTCAAAGTTGAGGTCGAGTTCCACCCCCAAAACCCCCACCTATGATCGGATACAAACCTAACATATTAATCTAACGACGAGTGCGAACTCTCAATGGGTCACTCAAACTTAGACCGAGGGACATCAAACATATGTCTCAAAGCACGCAAGTATCGAAAATCAGACGAAGTCGCAGATGAAGAAAAACACATACATCCATAGAAGCAAAGTTTCCAAGGTTCAATACATCAAGTCAAGAAAAGGAAAACATAAAGCAAAAAAGAAAACAAGAATGGCCTAGGCTGAGGCATTTCCACTCGAACTGTCATCGACATCATCCTCCTGGACCAGCCTCCCAAAGCGGACGACCTTTTCCACATGCAAGGAGGAGAAGTCGAACCCGGGAGCCAGGAGACGTGCCTGACGAGTAGCCTTTTGAAAGCCCCTCTTGTGCTCCATCACAATGGAGCGTTCGACCTCCGCGAGCCTCTTCTTCGTGGCCGCTTTCCCCGCCGCTAGCTCCGCGAGCTCCGCCTTCAAGGTGGCAATCTCATCCTCACGGCCACCAAGAATGACCTCGCGACGGAGGCGCTCCTCAGCCGCCGCCGCCAACTCCCCCTTAAGAGAGGTCACAACGTCCTCCAAAGCCCGCACTTGGTTGCGAGAAGACGTCACCTCATCCTCCAAAGAGCGAGCGCGACCCCGAGAGAAGGCGACGAGCTCTTGCAACTCCCCCACTTGGGAAGCATAAGCCTCGTTGGATCGTAAAGCGATCTCAAGAGACTTCTGCACCCTTGTAAGATCGCTCCGCGCAGACCGAAGCTCCACCTCCTGCCGCCTCGCCTCACCTACAGCAACACTGAGATCCTTGTTCTCCTCCCTCAGGATCTTATTCGCATCCTTCCAGGGTTGAAGTCCGCCCCTCAGCTTAGCCAGCTCCTCTTGCGTCTTGGCCAGGTCCCCCTGCTGCTTGCCCCACCTCGGCTTCCAGTGGCCTAGGATGCCCACAGCTCTCTACAGCAGGACCTAAGCAGCATCGAAACTATCTTCGGGGCCGACCTCCTCTATCAGCCCCTGGTCCTCGGAGCTCAACGAACCCTAAGGGAAGAACTTCTCAGCGGTCACCCCCGCGCTCCACAGGGAGTCCAGGTCGGCCGAAGCGCTCACATGGTCGAGCCGCACCTTTGAGAGGGCCCCCCCGAAGCGATGGGCCAAGTATCAGCTCCGGGAAACCCCCTGTGACGAGCCAGACGGCGGTGCCGAAGCCGCAGCGGGGGACGAGGGAACCTCCGACCTCGCCTGCGGAAACCAGCCCCATGTCAAAAAAAAAAGGGATAAGATGACAAATAGGAAACCACGAAAGTCAGGGAATATGACTTACCTCAGCAGTAGGAGCAACCTGCTCGGTGGCCGGAACCGCCACCTCGGCAGCTGGGACGACCCGCCCAGCAACCTCCGTTGCCGCCTCAGTGGTATCTCCCTCCTGCGACAGACGGCCCCAGGTCAGAACACAGAAAAACACAATAGGTTACGTTACAAAAGCAACAGTAACAGGTTTCTCACCACCTCGGAAGCCTGGGTGACCTGCTCAGTGGCCGGAATAGCCACCTTGGCAGCCCGAACCACCTCCTCAAAAGCCACCTGAGGGGCCTCCTTGGGAGGTGGACTCTCAGTAAGGTCCACCGCACTCGCATCAGCGGCCGTGGAGGTCACCTCCTCGGCGTCCGCAGGGTCAGAGGTCCCCCCGACCTCCTTCGCTCCCCTTTTCCTCTTTCGGATGACCTTTAGAGGGGGAACATCCTCCTCTTGAGGCTCGGGGACCTCGAGTTCTGTGACATTGTAGCGATGTTTGAGCTCGCGCCACAAATTCTTCCCCATGATACCTACAGACAAGAAGCAAAACACATCAGCAAAAGAAAGCTACACAAACCCTAAGCCACCGAAAAATAAAATACTCACTCTCCAAACCCCTCTCCCTGTATGCCGAGTTCGCAAGCGACAGAACGAGCTTGCAATCCAGTGGGCGAGGAAGTGCAGCGAGGTTGTCGATAGCGGCCACCTCCGAGGCCGTCAGTTTCACCTGGCCTACCCCATGAAACCTAGACGGTTTGGGGCACCAGTAAAAAGGAAATTTAAAAAATAATTTTGAATATTCAATAATTATATAAAAAAAAACTTTTTCTATTTTTTTATGTCAATTTTTAAAGAGAGAATAGGGAGGTAGGAGAAAAAAGAGAAAGAAGAATTTTCCTATCCAAATTGATGTAATTCGAACGAGTACCTACGGGGCTAAGTTACAATGCTATACCTAGTTAGATAGACTCACCTACCCTTATTTTTACCCTTTTTGACTTATGAATTGAATGAGTTTTTGTACTTACTAATTTAATATATCTCTTTCTTCATTAATAATAAAAAAAATACATTGAATAGCCTACAAATTTTAATGACTCACCTACCCTTATTTTCAGTCGGCCGGAAAAATTACTGTAGCACCATACTTTTATATATACTATGATATATAATTGTTATATTTATCTTATCTAGCATAATTATGTATTTTTATTTAGTTGATAAAATAAATAAATAAAACATGATTTAAACATTTTTTTTTCCGAGAAAAACTCCCCACAAGAACCCTACTTTATATAAGTAGAGATAAATATGTGAATTAAAAGACGAATTCACGTTAATATAATATACATTTAAAGTAATTTTCATTAAAGAATCTTCTGCAGCCATTAATACGTAATTAAAAAGCAATTATTTGTGAATACGTAATTTCTGTAAAGTACTAGGGTATTTATTATTCTAGGCTGGCAACATATTATTTGTGAATGATTCCATATATTACGTATTAATAGTAGCCACTATTATTTAATACAAAAGCTAAAAGAAAATTCCGGCACAATTCCATTTTTATGTTTGGATAAATAATTTTAGAAATTAAAAATTTTATAATTTAAATTATTTTAATTTTAATTTTCATCTTTTTAAAAATATTTTATTTGAATAAGTCAAGTAAAAATTTTAAAATATTAAATTTTAAGTTTGGATAGAATAATTTAATTTTCATTATGGATAAAACTAAATCCTTAAAATTAAATTTTATAAAACTAAACATTAGTAAATTTTTATAAACATTAATTTTATAAAGCTAATAATTTTAAAAATTACTATTGCATAATATTTATTATTTTAAAAACTAATAAATATTTTCTATGCCAACTTTGAATGAGTGAAGATGAATATAAGAGAATAAAAGAGAAAGAAGAATTTTAAATTTTTACATTTTTTTTTTTGGAGAATTTTAAATTATGCATCTGTACCATGTGTTTGGATGAAAAATTTTAAAAATTCATAGAACATGAAATTCTTAGAATTTAAATTATTTTGATTTTAATTTTCATAATTTTTTAAATGTCTTGTTTGAACTAGTCAATTCAAATGTTTTAAAATTTAAATTCTTAGCTTGGATAAGCCAATTTAATTTTCACAATGAGTAAAATTAAATTTAAACAATGTGTGTATTGAAATTTTAAGATTTAATTTTACAAAATTAAATATTAGACAATTTATAAATATTTACTATTATTTTTAAAAATAATATTACAGAATATTACATAATTTAAAAAATAATTTTGAATATTCAATAATTATATAAAAAAAAACTTTTTCTATTTTTTTATGTCAATTTTTAAAGAGAGAATAGGGAGGTAGGAGAAAAAAGAGAAAGAAGAATTTAAAAAAATTTACTTTCTTGGAAGAAATTAAAATTCTTTAATTTTAAGAAATTTCTCAGGAATGCGACATCGGCCCAAAGAGGCCACGTCATCAATCAGATAAAAATACAATTTTGTTACCACGCCGCTTGCACGTTCCCGAGAACGAGGCGGCAGTTGCAACATATGGCATATTGATAGGCAAGCATGCGCGAAAGGCCATTGCTCCTTGACGAGCTCGGTCTTAACTCCTCGACCTGCGGTCTTCGGAGCTCGGGGGGCTAGTGTACTATCTGTACTGCATAACCGAGCTCTGAGCTCGGCACCATAACGCAAGCCGACCTCGGACGCGCACCGCGTGAGATCAGCTCGGCATTTAAGTGAATCATAACTGATTCCCGAGGATCTCGCCCCAGACGAGGTCCGTTATCTAATCATATTACATCTCATCTCAGGCCCAAGGCCCAAAGCAACCCTAAATCACACCAACGTACGTGCATTACATATACGAGACTAATACTCACACAAAGACTAACTTTAGCATCAGAGTCTCTTTTGCAGGTACCACCCCCATCTTGGAGCATCAAGCGTACCAACAAAGGAGGCTCACCGATCTTACCTGGCAAATCAGCTCTACAGCAGATTTCCGGTAAGAACAATCTCTAATTTTTTTTCTTTCCAAATTACATTATGTTAGGAATTAAAATGATAGTTTCTTTATATTAACAACCATTTAGAAAAGAGAACAATATTTGGAGGACAAATTTAATAGTTTATTAAAAAATAAAACATATGTAGCAAAATTTAGTAAGAAAATTATTATAACATTTAAATGATTTCTATTGTTCATATTCTTGGAAAGAGCACAAACAAAATCACTAATTGCTTATTTATATATACAAATCTTGTTTGCAATACATTGACAAGTATGAGACAATTAATTAAGAGTCTTTTTCCAATAAGTATTTTTATAATCATTTATAAGAGAAGAAAATATAAAATAATTTTTTCCATAAATTAAAATTATGGATAAACTAATCTTTAAAAATTCTTTCATATTAGTGTTTTAAAAAAATTTAACTTATACATTGACTTATGTTGATTTTGTTATAAATTTGTAATTTTCTTTTGTTGAATATATATTATGTATAATATGTATGCATTTTTAATTTCATATGGTTATATTTATTTATTTATAACAGTTTTTTTTTATTTGAACATAAAATATTTCTTTTTTATTCTTTTGTAATTTTTTTGTGGTATGCAGGCTAGCTCGCTGACCCGCTAGCCCGTCCTTAGGCGGGGCGGGCTAGCTATCCCAACACGTTTTCTATTGGCAGCCCGGCCCGTTTTGGGCATGCCATTGGCGGGCTGAACTAAAACGGGCCGAGCTGGCACTTTTTGCCACCCCTACTTGAGTTAGGGCCAAATGTGGTGCAACAGAGTCAATATTTCTTTTACATGCAATTTTGAATTTAATTTTCAATCTATGAATATAGAAAAATAAAATAAAAATGTTAGTTTGATATATTGACATGCTAAAAAATATTAATAATGAAAAAGGAATCTAAAAATAAAATAACAATACATATTTACATATAACATTATAATTTTTTTTTATAAAATAAAAAATATAATAAAAATAAGGAAAAATACTCCATCAATAACATTTTAAAAAGTATAAACTAAATAGTTATCAATACTTCATAAAATAAAAATAAATTCTAAGAGCAAATTTTCATTTTATTTATTATTTTTTACAAAAGCAACAACTAACACACACATAATGGAAAAAAAAAAAAGAAAAAAAAACTTTGATGTATTTTCTATTCACCCTTCTAAAGGTATAAGTGATCACGGTAATTCACAAACCCAAATTGATCCAAATTGATTCAATGATTTAGAATATAGAGTTTTTTAGTGTTTAGATTAGATTCTACCCAATCAAAATAAGACACCATACATATTAGGTTACGAATTTTGTACTTTTGACACGTGTCCCAATCTAATCATATATAATCTATACTATTACTTAAGAGGATTGCTCCATTTGGTATTCATATATTTTTGGACAATTTTACCCTAAACTTTTATAAATTACAAAATTATTATTACTATTTTTTATAAATTTCATTCTATAACTGCCAAAATTTTTAATAACTACCCACTATTATATAATTTTAAAAAAAATAATTCACGAAAGTATGGAGTGTCTTTTGTATGCTACTAGTAGTAGAAGTAGTAGTAGTAGTAGTAGTAGTAATAATAATAATAATAATAATAATAATAATAATAATAATAGTAATAATAATAATATAATAAATATAATAATATAGTAATAATAATAATATAGTATTTGGATGATCATTGCTTAGGATAATACTCTTTGTTAATCTTGTTCAATAATGAGTTTTGTGTTTTTGGGTTAAAAGCATTGTAACAATATAATATACTTATTTGATTTTTTATATATATTAATGTTAGTTGTTTGAGTTGATAATAATGTAGCGAAATAAATAAACTTATTTTAGAATTTAATTTCTATCATTATTTATTTTATACCTTGTTAACATTACATTTGCAATAAGACTAAATAAATTTAATTATATACACTTAATTGATTCAATACAATCCAACCCACTCACAATCAAGTTGAATTAAGCTAAATTTCAAAAAAAAATATTACACAAACTTGACTCAATTTAATCTATTAAACTTTAATTAAATCAAATATCAGATTCATTCAAACTCAATTCAATTCAAACTCGATTCAACACAACCTGGCTTGAACCCCCACACCCTTCCCTTCAATACACCCATTTATATGCTTTTTCTCAGATCACAAGGTTCCTCAACAATAAAATTATCAGCATGCACACCATGAAGCCATAAAATAATATAGCATTTTTCACATCAATTTTTTTTTAGAAAAATGCATAAACAACATAAATTTGCAGTAATATTGCTGAAATAAAATGGACGAATTTGGAAGGCTTACCAGCGGTGAGGGAAGAAGCTAAAGAGAAAGAGCCAAGAAGCATAGAAGCCATTATCCACGCTAACTTTTCACCGAGCTTGTGTGTCACTCAGTTTCGCCAAATATATATATATAAAGAAACTATGTAACGTGAACCTTTTAAATATCTGAATTTGAAAGTCAAATGCTAATTAATATTATAGTTGTAGACAGTCACCAAAACACAATTATACCTTCTATTTAATTACAACCTACATTTCTATATAATAGTCATGTAAATTTATGATAAATAATTTTCATTGTAGTATAAAATTATTTATTTTATTAATAATTGGTTTTAAAATATTAATATTTAATTTATAAATAATTATGATAAAAAAAAATCAAATTAGATAAGTTGTTGAAAGAATCTCAACAAACTCTCTTGTTAAAGGAAAGTTTCTAAAATTACTTTCTGGTAAGATAATAATTATTGTTTAATATATGAGTTGATTAATTTAAAATTTAATGATACTCTTTAATATGTAATTAAAAACATAAAAAATCATTCAAACATAATAATCATCCAATTCACAATCAACTTGTCCATGTAAAACATGAACTATTATTTTGCGCGAGAAAGTTTTTAAGAATTTTTTAACTTTATATCTAATTTAATTTTTGTTTATCATCATTAATTATGAAATAAATTTTAATATTTTAAAATAATGATCAAAATTCAAAAATAAATTTGTGTTACAATATAATTTATTTATTATAAATATAAATACTATTTATATATTTAAAATATTTATTTATTTAAATCTAATTGTAATTTATATATTTATATATAATATTTATTTATATACATAATTTAATTTAAATTTTAGTTATGTATAATAAATATTTAATTTGTGTATTGCACTTACTAAAAATACTAGTGTAATGTAAACTACTATCAAGACTAATCATTAAATATTATATATATATATATATATATATATATATATATAAATAGTTAAT